CACCCACACCCCACACCCCACACCCACACCCACCCTAGTTCATCGAATATCTGACTCCATCAACGGCGTTTGAAACGTATCGCATATTGGTTGATTATTGTCAGTGTAATCTTTTAGATTTTATTTATCATTTATTCTTTGATTGGTATTGAAAGAACTCAAGCTGGATGTGCACCAGTGAATAGCTCGACCTATGTGGTCTTCTATTCTCTCGATAATGTTATTAGCTTCGAGTACGTTTCGCAGCAAAGAAAATTGGTGCGTATGCAGACAATGTTGAAATATGGTCCAACAGTGGTTTTGACTCAGCTTTGTCCACTGAACTCTTAGATTTGAATAGAATGCTCGAAAGAGTGATAAAGATTTCATTTTTTTTGTACAAATAATTTACGGTTCAATGAATTTATTTAGTCGATCAAAAAGAGAAACTAATCAAGCAAGAAGAAAATCAATAATAGTTCGTCCTTTAAGTTAATAGCGATCAGGAGTTTTGTAGTTATTGATTGTTGCGGATATTGCTTGTTTTGCTTGTGCCATGTGCTCGCTAGATATATGAATGTAATCTACACCGAAGGATCCACGAATTTCGAGAAGTCTTGATGCAGATGAACAGTAGCCGCACAATAAACCGGTGATAGATTGATCACCGGTGCATAGGGAAAAGCAAGACCTAGAAGCCTGTCTTCCACCTAGTGATTCACGTAATTGATCAATATCGCGCAAGTATGTCGCTGAATCAAGGGAAGAAGCACAACAACCACATTCTTCATAACGTGTCAATAGGCGATTATCAGTCAGAGTTGTATAGTACGTTCCAGCAGCACCACAACAACCTTCTGATTGAGTCCATTGATGCAATAGTCGTTCACCTGCAAGCAAACTAAAACTATTGTGAATCGGTTCGCCTTGAGGTTGATTGGCAACATGTATTCGAACAGCGGCCCTACAAAATAAAAAGCTAGCATTGCTTTTCGTCTAAGCTTTTTTTGATCAAGAGAAAAAAAGAATGATTGGCGACACACGCTTATAAAAAATATTTCTAGAAATAGATGGTTAAACATGTCCAAGCAATCCTACATGTCTCACGGCTATGGTTGTCGTCAGATTAGTTGTTCTTGAAATAGTCTATCTTTGTTTGCTTTCACTAATCAAATACTGTCGATAGGAGAATGACAAACAGTTAACTACAACCAAAGTAGAAGATATTTATAACCATTATCTTTAACCATGAAACGGTGTGTGGTGATAAAAAGAAGAAAAATTTAAATTCTGGTTGAAAATGATATATCTATTGTTGTGTCAATAGTTTTAGTAGAAGAGTACGAACAAAATTATAGTCGTTCTTTCTATTAAAGAGTCGTATACGAATAAATCTTTCAGCATTGTCACCAAACATGTCTTGTATTCAAGGTTAAATTATAATTAAAATGTGCATAGATAATAATTTCGTTGATAGATTTGAATCGATCTAATCAGTGAACAAATCGTCTAGTTTGACTTCAATCTTCACTTGATAAATTACATCGATAGGCAGTGTTTCAATATTGATCCTTATCTCAACTGAATAATACAACTATCAACGGCTAGTATGAGTCTTATAGAAATGACGTCGTCATAGTCTTCATTAGAATTTCGAAGATATGCTACATAGATCTATAGATAGACAAAAAAAAACAGATACTTCTCCAGTTTTCATCTTGTGCTCTCAAAAAGAAATTCAGTATCGAGTTTTTTGCCCTTGATATCATGCTGTTCTTTGATCAAAGATGGAGTAGATCATTTCAATTCAATACTCATGCCCTGCATCCTTATTTGTGTTATCTTTGCTGATTTTATGCAAATATCTGATTCTAAAGATTGTTGATTTATTTTATTAGAAGAGAGAAGTAAAATAGAATGTCTAGAAATAAACAACTCAGTCAATCGATCACTGTTTCGGAGCTTTGTAGGCGTTGATAGCATTTGAAATCGCGATTTTTGCACCACCCATAGCCTCGCTAGGTAAATAGATCGTTTCTGAACCGAAGGCGCCGCGTACTTCAAGATGTTTAGTTCGACATCTACAAAAACACGATAGCCAACACAACAGTAATATCAAGAGCCCGGGCGTCGTATTCTGTACTGTTTCGTGTAACTGTTCAATATCGCGTAAATGTATCGCCGAATCAATACGACCTGGAGTATGGGAACATTTACAACACGCATATTCCTCATAGCGTGTCAATAAACGATTATTGGTCAAAGTAGTATAATGTGTACCATCAGAACCGAAACAACCTGCCTGCTTTTCCCATTGATGCAAGACATGTTCGTTATTTAATAAATTAAAACTATTTTCAATTGGTGCAACTCGCGGTTGAATAATTACGGGAGCATCAACCCTACAAAAGAGATATAATTGTAATTATTGATTGAATCGATGTTTCTACGAAGCAAAAAACAAACAGGATCGGTAACGCATGTCCATCATTGTTTCGAAGATCACTTCAATCGTTATCAAGCACGCTAATGAATACAAGATGGACCATACGTCTTACCGATCTGCTCATCATCAATTCTTTCAAATTAATGAGTATCTATAATGAAAACTGACAATCCTACATGTCTCACGGCTATGGTCGTCGTCAGATTAGTTGTTCTTGAAATAGTGTATCTTTGTTTGCTTTCACTAATCAAATACTGTCGATAGGAAAATGACAAACAGTTAACTTCAACCAAAGTAGAAGATATTTATAACCATTATCTTTAACCATGAAACGATGTGTGATGATAAAAAGAAAAAAAAAAATTAAATTCTAGTTGAAAATGATATATCTATTGTTGTGTCAATAGTTTTAGTAGAGGAGTACGAACAAAATTATAGTCGTTCTTTCTATTAAAGAGTCGTATACGAATAAATCTTTCAGCATTGTCAACAAACATGTCTTGCATTCAAGGTTAAATTGTAATTAAAATGTGCATAGATAATAATTTCGTTGATAGATTTGAATAGATCTAATCAGTGAACAAATCGTCTAGTTTGACTTCAATCTTCACTTGATAAATTACATCGATAGGCAGTGTTTCAATATTGATCCTTATCTCAACTGAATAATACAACTATCAACGGCTAGTATGAGTCTTATAGAAATGACGTCGTCATAGTCTTCATTAGGATTTTGAAGATATTGGGTTGGCAAGAAAGTTTTGCGTCTTGTTTTATTATCTGAACACATTGTTGTAAATTTTTTATTTGATAAACTATCGACTTGATTTGAGTGCCAATGGAAAGAATATTGTCTCGTGAGTAGTTACTTTATTCGTTTGGTTGGTTTTCATGCTATTCCTATTACAATTTGTGATGTAATGACTATGATGTCATATGACCATGAGATCACATGGGGTATGAGATCATGTGACTACTACTTGTTTAGTGTTGAAGTACATTCTGGAACTTTCTATGGTTTCTATTCCTCTTTCGTGGGTGGGTTCTTGCGTAATGTTCTGGAATGTTCTATTTTCAACACTATATGTACCCCGGAAAAGCAAACGTTAGTCACTATGTTTGACCTCTTTTTACACTCGAAAACGGCTTATTGGAAAAATAATTATGTCATTCGATAGCCCTTGTAAAGCTCTATCAAACTATGCCTTTTGATCATATCTGACTTTTATATAGTGGAAAATTAATCAAGTGGAATGAAGATAC